TAGCCAAGAGCATGGGATGAGTTTCCATTTGTTAGTGTCCTCTTTAACTTCTCTTAAGAGTGTCTTGTAGTTTTCAGGGTATAGGTTTTTCACCTCCTTGGTTAGGTTTATTCCTAAGTATTTTATTCTTTTTGATGCAATTGTGAATGGAATTGTTTTCCTGATTTCTCTTTCCATTAGTTCATTGTTAGTGTATAGGAAAACCACAGATTTCTGTGTATTAATTTTGTATCCTGCAACTTTGCTGTATTCCGATACTAGTTTTAGGTAGTTTTGGAGTGGAGTCTTTAGGGTTTTTTATGTGCAATATTATGTCATCTGCAAATAGGGCCAGTATAAAATCCTTAATTTTTGCATTTCAGTATCAAAGGCATACAAAGTTTATCAATGACTATATTTTATACTATGGTGGCAAAAAGGAGGACTTCAGGCGATTGGGGTAAGTATCATGGAGTTTACATAGGATTGGAGGCGGTATAGATGTCTCTAAAAACCTATAGCTACTGTGTCTTCTGTCATTCTCCCCTGCTTTCCATTCCTGTTTCCTTCTCGTGTCATAAATTGCAGAGGCCCTCCACAGCTTCTAGCTAAGCAGTTTGTCCTGAACCTGTTTCCCTGGCAACAGGCCTCAGGTAGCCTCCTGAGTCAGATCTGTCCCCAGCAAGTACAGGATATGTGAGAAATACTCATGCTTCTGATTATGCAGTAGTGTTTTTTTTTGGTAAGAATCTTTGAAATATTGAACTTTTTAGACCTCCTTGTTTTTGATTGCCTTTTTAAAGGTAGGGTGAGTAAGAAATCTCACTCTAATTTCCCACACTGAAATTCTTTCTTATAGTTGAGGCTCTTCTATTAGAGTCTCTTATTTTTGTGTGTGTGTTTTTTTTTTCCTCAGACTTAATAATTTTCTGAGTTGGTAGAGACCTAAAAAACTATGCCATCTCATCTACCCCAAACTTATTTCCCCTCTCAGTTTAGCCTGTATTCCCCAATAATCCCTTGTTCTTCTCCCAGACTGTTAAAACATCTTGAAAAATCATCCCCTTCATTTCCCTTCCTGCCTAACTCAGTCTTTCTAGGAAGCTGTAGTAAAATGAGGTATAGAAAATTCTTCATACATTTTGATCTCAATAGGATGGCGTTGCTGACTTTTTTTTAGATCCTGAAACTTATTTTCATTCATTTTTACTTTTCTATTTAGTGTTTATTTCTCGTCTTGGTTAAGGTAGTTTAGCACCATTTATATAATAGAAAGCAGTGATAGAGATGGACAGATTCCTTATCCATTTAACTTCCTTATGTAGCAGCATTCTTTTTAAATGTCTTCTGAAAATACTGAAAGTTTTTTATAAATATGTTTACATGTACATAAAACTATCTTTATCTTCATGAATTGTATTTTTACTCAGATGTTCAAAAATCTCACAGAACTGTTTAACCTCCTAACTTTGACTAATTTTGTGTTTTATTAAATTGAAATAGTTTTATTTTCCAGGGAAAATGACAAAACAGACATGGATGTTATACGAGAAAATCATAGATTCCTGTGGAATGAGGAGGATGAAATGGACATGAATTGGTAATTTTAGCTATCTAAGGCCTAATTCATCAAATACTTTATTTCTTTTTCTCCTGTTCTCTGAGTGTTTTCTTACTTTGTCACCTATCTAACACATTCAACCCCTACATAGAACAGTCCTGAACTGAGTATATAAAACCATACTGTGAATCATTGAATCAGATTTGGTTCTTTTGGTAATTTTTAGCAAATTGCTTGACTTTGTCTTTAGAAAATAATTTGTAACATTTTTATTATTGTTTGTTGTCTTGTAATGTGCTTCTTTTTACATTTTAAAAATATTTTTGGAAAAAGTAGTACCTGAAAATGGTTTAAAAATCCAAACATTACAAAAGGTAAAAAGTGAAGAGTTAGGCTCCTTCTCATCACTCTCAGTCTTTAATTTTCCCGCCCTAGAGAACCATGAATAGTTAATATTCAGATGTTTATGCATGTGTAAGTAATAGGCCTCTTTTAAAACATTAATATTTATATCATATGTTATTATTTGACACTGCTTCCACGTAGCAAACTATGGCTGAATTTTTAAATGTTCAAGTTTGTATTTTTTTAATGGATCTAGGGAGAGGAGACTTGCAAAGAAGTACTATGATAAATTATTCAAGGAATACTGCATAGCAGATCTCAGTAGATACAAAGAAAATAAGGTATGCCTTCCAAATATTTACAGAAGGTTTTTATTCAAGCACAGGATACTTTTTATGATACTGCCAAGCCCGTTATTCTTTTTAAGATGCAAATTTGAGTCTAAGATCTCCTGCATGCATGAAGTATCATTTGGATCGTTTAACCTCTGCAGCTATGGAATTTACAAAAGACCGCTTTGTTAAGGATACTTTTACTTTAGCCAAGGCATGAAAAGTCTAAAATTAAACACCAGTGACTGTTGGATCCTATTTAATCCTGGCTCTGGCCTAGAGACTCTAGTGGTTATAATTAATAATTTGACACTGCAGAATGATGTCTTGTTTCACAAATGATGTTTGAAATTGATAGGCTTTTTTCTTTTCAAATTGATTACCATTTATAATATGACAGATGCATATCTTGTTATATTAATATCTATTCTAGCAAAATTATTTCTCATCAGTGCTAATTAGTTGTGGCAGATTTCTGTTCCACTTTACATTTTACATTAGTTAAAATATTAAAGTAATTTTTGGTCTTATCTCAGATTTCACATTTGTAGCTAGAGATGGTGACCCAGAAACAGATGATCTCAGTTTGAAACAAGAGGGGAGGAAATGTTCCATAAATTTATGTTTGTGATAGTGTTATATTAAAAAAGTACTATGTCTATAGTATATATAGAATGTATCGTATATATAGTATTATATTAAGAAAGATAACCTATTTAAAAAGCTATCTTAGATTTATCATCAGGATTTCTTTTTTGTTTAAATAGTTAAACCATAATTGGCTTAATTTTTTTTCAGTAGTGAGTGCCTTTAATATGTGGGTTGCTTCACAATATTCTTAAAGATAATGGTAATGTCTATTTTTATAACCCTGTTTACAAACCTATGCATTTGATATATCCTAAAGACTCCCTCCATGTCTTGGGAGCTAGCTCTCATCTTTGTACTAGTGATTGGCCATCTTGAATCCAAAAAGCACCACAGTAGTTGGGGTTGAAGTCACTTTACTGCAAGTCAGGTATGAAATTCAGGTCTTCCTAGGAACACACAAAGTAGCTTTTTCAGTCTTGGCTCATTTGTTGGTTGTTTTTCAGTTTTTGTTGAGGACTGGGCTGGGTGCTGTGAATTAAAACATGATTGGTGTCTGCCCTTTTGAAAAAAACCATAATTGAGGGGAGAAATTATACATAAATAAGTAAGCATTTGTATTCTCCATTTGGAAAAATGGCATATTACTGAAAGTCGCACTTTAAAGAGGATAATCTTGAAACATGTATTTTCCTGTTAGAACATGATGAGTAGATAGATAGGAGGGTAGGTGTAAGAAATCAGATATAGCTCATAGGTTTTGAGTGTGGATGCTAGAGAAATAGGAAATATGAAGAGGGGATTTTTTTTTTATTAATAAGACTTAAATTTTTTTTAGGGCAGTTGTAAATTCACAGCAAAATTGAGGGAAAGGTACATACTTCCCATATACTTCCTGCCCCACATGTATGAAGGGGATCTTTTTTGGGGGTAAGATAATGACTTTCTTGGCATACCATGTTTGAGGTGTTGAAGGAAAGTTACACTAGCGCCTTTGATTTCCTTGCAAGGGTATATTTTATCATAGTTTTATTTACACAAAGCCAGCATTTCATGCATTTTTAGTTAACCAGCTCCCAGCTCAGTGCCTAATGTTTATAGTAGATATTTGGGGCATTTTTAGTAAATTCCAACCTTTGTCCCATATCCCCATCTTCTTTGTTGCTTCTTTTCTTTCATCATTGAGAATTTGATAGGGGCAGTGCATCAGTTAGGATTAAATATAGCAGCATGGAACAGCAAGCACCCCCAAATAACACTGGCATAAATGCACTAGAAGCTTATTTTTCTTTTACATGAAAGTCCAAGTAGATGGAACTTTGTGTTGTTAGAAAGTTAAGATCCTTGTGTCTTACAGTGTGTGACCTCATTGTGATAGAGCATAGAGTGACGAGAAGATTAAGCACCAAATCCTGAGTAACTCCAGTGTTTAATGCAACCTGTCAGCAGGAAAATTTGTTGGGAAGGAATACAAAAACATTGAAACAAACAAAACCTCTGTGAAGTGTTTAGTAGGACAGATTATATTTGTTTGTTATGTTTCTTATTGCCCTAAAAGATTATAACCTTCTTGGTGACAGACTATTTTAATAATCACTTTAAATCCTTAACAGAGTACCAAGCCCAATAAGTAGTTGTTCAATAATTGTTGAATAGATTAATGAAAGAAAGAAAAAGTTTGGAAACTTGCTGTACAAGTTTGACTGTGCTTTCATAGATATCCCAACATATGTTTGATGGCAAGTAGTCTTCTTGTTTATGGCCTTGAGAATAGAATTAAACAGTTACACTGAATGTTTGTGTATCTTTTTCCCTGGAGTGGGGGGATTACATTTCTGTTGGGTTTTAATCAGACTATTTTGAAATATTTTGAGCCTTCATTTGCATTTAAAATTAAAAAATAACTACTTCAAGTAATAGGTGATTTTTAAAAATAAGTGAAGTTAGCTAGGCATTGAACACCTATGCACTTGAATTATGTATGGTTGTGTTCCAGTAAAATTTTATTTATAAAAATAGACAACAGGACTGTGGGTGAAAATTTCCTAACCCCTGGTGTCCTATGTACTATATATATTATCCCATTTAAACCTCTTAACCCAAAGAAGTAGGTACTTGAATTATTTATTATTTACAGATGAGAAACTCAGGCATAAATAGATTAGATAAATTGTCCAATGTTATACAAGTATTAAGTGGTAGAGCTAAAACATAAACAATCTGACTCCAAAGGCTCCACTCTTTTACACTATAGTATAATGCCTCTTACTGTACCATAACCTCTTTGTGTATGTCAGTGTCATAGAACAGGATATATTTTTTATTATTTTAGGTATCTTGTGACCTGGCATCTGTAAGTTTTATTAGGTAGTTTAAAAATAAAGAAGATAGTTCCTTAACAGATAAGTTGTTAATTGTTCAAATGTATTTTTAAATACCTGTAATCCTATAAAGAGAGAAAAAGCTATGATGGGAATTAGGTTTACATTTTAGGTCGGTAAATGTCATTATGTCAATTGGCTCCATGTTTAGATTTATATACAATTTAAATAATGTTTAAATTTACTCTAGCATAAATGTAATATGTTTCTTGTCAGTTTGGATTTAGGTGGCGAATAGAAAAAGAAGTAATTTCAGGAAAAGGTAATTTTTAAAAAATTTACTTTTTAATAGGATAAGTTTATTTTCTTATATTGAATTGAAGTCATTGGGTAAGATTATTGCTAATGTATACAACAAATGATCATCTACAAAAGTAAAATTGGAGAGGGTGTATTCATGATACATTATTACTAGCAAAGTCAAATATGATGCCTTAGTGATTTTTACCTTTAGAATTTTTGCTTTTAAAACATTCAGTTGAGAATAAGTAAAAATGCTTAAAGAGTTAAAGATTTCTTAACAAGGAAACTATGGATGAATACTTGAGTTTTTCTCTTTATCAATTTTTTGGGATAATATGTTGGTATTACTGTATTCCAGTCAAATTCACATTTTGAAAGTAAATATTAAGTATTAGTTTGAACCTAATAGAAATTTTAAATGGGCTAGTTCCAATTTGGGGGAGTCACTGAGATTGAGCCCAAATATTTAGTATTAGAGGAAAAGACCAAATATTTGGTAGGCAATTAGTCAGTAAATGCCTTTTCCATACTTTCTTGTAATGTAATCATAAAATTTTTCTGAAAATTTAATAACTCTATACTGTTTCATGTTGTAATGTTAGCTCATTATTGATAATTGTATTTTTAAGTTTTAATGCTTCTGAAAACTTAGGGGTATTTAGGAGATAATTTTAAACTAGTAACCTAAAAAATATTTTAAACTGAAACAAAGGGTACACTTTCTAATGATTAAATGTTTATGCCATTAGTGTGGAACTCCAGTGTTTAATGCAACCTGTCAGCAGGAAAATTTGTTGGGAAGGAATACAAAAACATTGAAACAAACAAAACCTCTGTGAAGTGTTTAGTAGGACAGATTATATTTGTTTGTTATGTTTCTTATTGCCCTAAAAGATTATAACCTTCTTGGTGACAGACTATTTTAATAATCACTTTAAATCCTTAACAGAGTACCAAGCCCAATAAGTAGTTGTTCAATAATTGTTGAATAGATTAATGAAAGAAAGAAAAAGTTTGGAAACTTGCTGTACAAGTTTGACTGTGCTTTCATAGATATCCCAACATATGTTTGATGGCAAGTAGTCTTCTTGTTTATGGCCTTGAGAATAGAATTAAACAGTTACACTGAATGTTTGTGTATCTTTTTCCCTGGAGTGGGGGGATTACATTTCTGTTGGGTTTTAATCAGACTATTTTGAAATATTTTGAGCCTTCATTTGCATTTAAAATTAAAAAATAACTACTTCAAGTAATAGGTGATTTTTAAAAATAAGTGAAGTTAGCTAGGCATTGAACACCTATGCACTTGAATTATGTATGGTTGTGTTCCAGTAAAATTTTATTTATAAAAATAGACAACAGGACTGTGGGTGAAAATTTCCTAACCCCTGGTGTCCTATGTACTATATATATTATCCCATTTAAACCTCTTAACCCAAAGAAGTAGGTACTTGAATTATTTATTATTTACAGATGAGAAACTCAGGCATAAATAGATTAGATAAATTGTCCAATGTTATACAAGTATTAAGTGGTAGAGCTAAAACATAAACAATCTGACTCCAAAGGCTCCACTCTTTTACACTATAGTATAATGCCTCTTACTGTACCATAACCTCTTTGTGTATGTCAGTGTCATAGAACAGGATATATTTTTTATTATTTTAGGTATCTTGTGACCTGGCATCTGTAAGTTTTATTAGGTAGTTTAAAAATAAAGAAGATAGTTCCTTAACAGATAAGTTGTTAATTGTTCAAATGTATTTTTAAATACCTGTAATCCTATAAAGAGAGAAAAAGCTATGATGGGAATTAGGTTTACATTTTAGGTCGGTAAATGTCATTATGTCAATTGGCTCCATGTTTAGATTTATATACAATTTAAATAATGTTTAAATTTACTCTAGCATAAATGTAATATGTTTCTTGTCAGTTTGGATTTAGGTGGCGAATAGAAAAAGAAGTAATTTCAGGAAAAGGTAATTTTTAAAAAATTTACTTTTTAATAGGATAAGTTTATTTTCTTATATTGAATTGAAGTCATTGGGTAAGATTATTGCTAATGTATACAACAAATGATCATCTACAAAAGTAAAATTGGAGAGGGTGTATTCATGATACATTATTACTAGCAAAGTCAAATATGATGCCTTAGTGATTTTTACCTTTAGAATTTTTGCTTTTAAAACATTCAGTTGAGAATAAGTAAAAATGCTTAAAGAGTTAAAGATTTCTTAACAAGGAAACTATGGATGAATACTTGAGTTTTTCTCTTTATCAATTTTTTGGGATAATATGTTGGTATTACTGTATTCCAGTCAAATTCACATTTTGAAAGTAAATATTAAGTATTAGTTTGAACCTAATAGAAATTTTAAATGGGCTAGTTCCAATTTGGGGGAGTCACTGAGATTGAGCCCAAATATTTAGTATTAGAGGAAAAGACCAAATATTTGGTAGGCAATTAGTCAGTAAATGCCTTTTCCATACTTTCTTGTAATGTAATCATAAAATTTTTCTGAAAATTTAATAACTCTATACTGTTTCATGTTGTAATGTTAGCTCATTATTGATAATTGTATTTTTAAGTTTTAATGCTTCTGAAAACTTAGGGGTATTTAGGAGATAATTTTAAACTAGTAACCTAAAAAATATTTTAAACTGAAACAAAGGGTACACTTTCTAATGATTAAATGTTTATGCCATTAGTGTGGATCATACACATCTTCCATAAATTGGATGTCTCTGTCAGTGTGAAATTAGATATGCAGTAAAACAAAATTAAACAATAGGAATTTTTTTTCTTTGGATAATACAGAATCAGTCCTGAAAGTGCTGTAGAGGAGAAGGAAAAAGAATAAAATTTAAAGCTATTTTAAGCTTTTTTAGGATCACATTTTAGTTTTTTTGTGTTTTTACCTAAAACAGCGATAAATTTTGAAATGTCTATCACAGTTTAAAAATTTTGTACTTTTATTGAATGGAAACTTCAGGTGATGATAAGTAATGCTCCATTAAAAAAACTGATGGACATTCTTTAAACTCATATAACTAAAAAAGATTAGTTGGGAAGGGAGAGAGAAAGCCATTACTATACTTTATACTGTATAATTTTGTTGCTGTTTTAACAATAACACCATTACTAAACATGTACAGATTTAATGAAGTATTCATTTGGAATGATTAAAAAAGACAATTTAGAAGAGTTATCAGGCTTTTGACTGATAATTTTCGAAATCCATTTTGATATGTTCTGTTTTATAAAAAGTTCAGGTTCTTGGTGGAGATTACTGAAATATAAATTCTTTTTGTTGGTTTGTATAAATAAATCTTGTCTTTTTCTGTCAAAGTTAATACTTGTTGAGTAGTTTTTTTTTTCCTCTTGGATCATTAGTATTAGCCCTTTTTTTAAAATTCTTTTCTTTTGGTATCATTAATCTACAATTACATGAGGAACATTATGTTTACTAGACTCCCCCCTTCACCAAGTCCCCTCCATACCTCATTACAGTCACTGTCCATCAGCATAGTAAGATGCTGCAGAATCACTACTTGTCTTCTCTGTGTTGCACAGCCCTCCCGGTGCCCCCACCCCCACATTATACATGCTAATTGCAATCCCCCTTTCTTTTCCCCCCCTCCTTACCCCTCCCTTCCCACCCATCCTCCCCAGTCCCTTTTCCTTTGGTAACTGTTAGTCCATTCTCAGGTTCTGTGGTTCTGCTGCTGTTTTGTTACTTCAGTTTTTGCTTTGTTTTTATGCTCCACAGATAAGTGAAATCATTTGGTACTTGTCTTTCTCCACCTGGCTTATTTCACTGAGCATAATACCCTCTAGCTCCATCCATGTTGTTGCAAATGGTAGGATTTGTTTTCTCCTTATGGCTGAATAATATTCCATTGTGTATATGTACCACATCTTCTTTATCCATTCATCCACTGATGGACACTTAGGTTGCTTCCATTTCTTGGCTATTGTAAATAGTGCTCCGATAAACATAGGGGTGCATCTGTCTTTTTCAAACTGGGCTGCTGCATTCTTAGGGTGAATTCCTAGAAGTGGAATTCCTGGGTCAAATGGTATTTCTATTTTGAGCTTTTTGAGGAACCTCCATACTGCTTTCCACAATGGTTGAACTAATTTATATTCCCACCAGCAGTGTAGGAGGGTTCCCCATTAGACCTTTTTCGCAGAAGGTTTTAATATATGATTAACATAGGTAATTTGTTGATTTTAATGTCAGTGACTTTAAGATTTAGAGCATCAGGTTTGAGTACTTAGTCTACTTCATCTCGGAGTGCTAGTGCTAGCATTTTAAAATGTGCTTTAAATGCCATTTTATGCTGGTACTTGAAGTAGATACCATTATGTTATACTTAAAAATTTCAATTTTAATATTATTAAATATTGAAAAATCTTCATTCAAGTATAAGTGCATGTACTTTGGGAAATAGGTATTTTTTTTTAGGTTATTAATGAGTATATTCTTTTTAGTACTCCCATTTCCCAAAGTGTAAGATTCCCTAACAGGGAGTCCCTAATACTCTGTATCTAAATATAAACAGTAGATCTGTCTATCAAGTAAGAATTCTGTGCTGATTTTCTTTTTTGAATAGTTCGTTCAGCTCTTGGATATGATACTCGTACACACATTGGGTGAGCATATTATAATCATTGTGGTCAGTTGTTTCTTTAATGCTGACAAAATAAAAGTAAGAATTTATGTATGGTAAGAGTAAATTTCAGAGATAATATGAAGTTGTGTAGATAAATATTGTCACCAACTATCATTGCTAATATTCCCCTTTTTTGCAGGCCAGTTTTTCTGTGGAAATAAATGTTGTGATAAAAAAGAAGGCTTAAAGAGTTGGGAAGTTAACTTTGGTTATATCGAGCATGGTGAAAAGAGAAATGCACTTGTTAAATTAAGTAAGTTGACTTTAGGTAGGGTATGATTGACTTCATCAAAATTTTTCTAATTAGATTAAAAAATATATAGGCTAATTTAAGATGCAATTGAAGAATTTCAGTGTATCTTTATTAAAGTGCTCTTATTTTCTCAGAGCTTCCCAAAGTCAAAGTCACAAAGAACTTTTGAGCCTAAAATTTTTATATTCTTGGCATTATGGTGTTATTTAGGTGAAACGGTTTTAATATTTGCCAAATATAAACTGGTAACATATAAGACCTCCTCCTATTGACTTGAGAACGTCACCAATGCAGAGTGAAATGCAAAGGTATCAGAAAAGATAACATAAAATCTCACAGCAGGTGATTGTCATATTGTTAATAGCATGGATAATAAAACATATACTCTTACTGCATTGATAAAGAAAAATTTTAGGAGCATAATTTTTCTTGATAATGAGTATTAAAAGCTTAGGGCTATGCCCTGGAATACAGCAGTTTCTCTTACTGTGCATGTTTTAGAAGCTGTTGTCCTTTTTTTTTCCCCCCTGAGCTAGTCTTACAAGTCACCTTCTCTCCAAATTAACAGCCTTCCCTGGGTCCTAACAAAATGTGCCCTCAGAATTTTCTGTGTACCCCAGATAGAAGTCAAGAATTACCATATATATATATATATATATATGCCACTTAACATACTCTGATCCAGACTGGTTTCTGAGTTCTTTCTGGAAGTGCTCATGAGGAAAAGTCAACTAGTATGAACTGAAATTAAGGCAAAAGAAGAGGCCACAATTTTGGAACTTTCTGAAAAGCTCTTTTTCATTTGAAAACTCTTAGAACGCTCCAGAGGAAATGACTCTACCCACACTATTTATTAAATATCTTTGATGTGAGATACACATTAATACTGCCTATGGAACAGAGTTTGCTTTTAGAATAAATTGATAGCACATTTTTGTAAAATAATGTTAGGATATTTTCAGTTCCTCAAGCATTCTAATACTATTTTTATTTTAGATATGCATTTTTTAGGTGGAGAGAATCAGATTGTTTTTCTTCAGATTATTTGTTTCCCCTCTTAGAGTAAAGGAATAAAAGGAAAAATGAGAATTTATGATATTAAAAGTTAGACTAGCAGTTCATTTATTCAAATTCAGTGATTCAGCAGTGTCACTTTTTTTTTTTTTAGGATTATGCCAAGAATGTTCTTTAAAATTAAATTTTCATCACAGGTAATATTATCTTTTAAAATGCTATTACTGTTTAGCAGTCTTTGACCTAGTCACTTACCTGCACCAGATGGCTAAAGGAATTGTTGGTTTAACTAACCACTTGAGTGGTTGACTATATATAGCATATCCAGCATAACTGTATGACCACATAAGCCAGGGAACTGGAAGTTCACCTACTTGCTCTAGCCAAGCACTTTGAAATGTGAAGGCCTGTGCCGGGTGGTAGGTAGATGCTAGAATTTTTATTTTGGAGTCATTCAGATGCCAGTATATTCTTAGGAACTATATTGGAAAAGCAGATCTTCATAGAGTGATTTTTATGTCTCATTTAAATAGTGTTTTAATTGGAGTTTGTCTTTCTTAACAAAGGATTATATGCCTGTATACTCATTTCTGGTGTTAAAATCAGGCTTCTATTGAATGAGCTAGAATTCATCTTCCATAATGGGTGGTGTAGGAGTATTAGTGTTCTGCAACGTGCAGTATGTATAAGATCATGAGCTTTGAAATCAGAGAAATAAAAAATGGGCGTTTCTTTTAGCTAGTTCACTTACTAGTTGTCTTCTTGGGCAAGCTACTTCACCTCTTTTAAGGTTCAATTTCATCATCTCTAAAAATGAAGATGCTCAAGTTATTGTGGGGATTAAGTAAAAGCACATGAATAGTGTTTGACACAGTGCCTGGCATGTGTTAAGACTTAGTGGAGTCTCTGGCACTGAGGATATTTAGACAAAATCTGTGTGACCTGCCATTTTTGTGGTGGTCTTGTTTCACATCCTGATAACAGTTGAATGTCTAACAGTAAGATTCTGTAACTTTATAAAATGTGTATATTAGAATAGTCATTTTAAAACCAGCTGTTATAAATACCTTATCTAGTATTTTAGCTATTAAAATAAATACTAAGTAATTAATAATTTTTAAGTTCTCAAATTAGCAGAATATTATTGATAACTTGAATAGCCTGAACCTTCATTTCCTTTCTCCATCAGTGATACTGAAAGATGCCAGAGATGTTTTTGACCTTACCTTCCAAGCTTCATTTCAAAATTGAAATGATTCTTATGAGGCAAAAAGTGTTACTATCTTAAATAATATTACAGTATTTGATATAAGCACCTTAATTTGGAAAATCTGATAAGCAGATTTCTTGAAGCTAATCCTCTGTTGACTTTTCATTCTTTCTTAGTCCCAGGTTTCAGCATTATCACTTTTTCCTATTTACTATTTCTTTTTTTAACCAGTTTAAAATCAATTGCTTGCCAAATTTGGGATTAACAAACCTTGTAAGCCTGACCTAGAAGAGATAAAGCTGGAACAGTAAAAGGATAAGTGGTCTAAAGAAGACATGAGTTAACAATAAGCCCTTCCATCCTCCTCCTGTTACACCTTTGCTTTATTCCTTTATTCCTGAGAGAAGAACGTTCTACTGACCTTGTAGTTTGAAACTGTAAATTGGTTTCTTGTGTCTTTTTCAAAGTGTAGCGGGAAAAGGGGTTTGTTTTTGTAATTTTCTTTTAAATGGTAGAATACGAAAAGGAGGAAATGATTAAAACTGATTTATTTATATTTAGTAATGTTTATATACAGAAATTATAAAAAATAATTCTTTGTCTCAGAGTGTTCAGGCTTCATTTCATTATCTTTATAGAATTATCTTAATACACTAACCTAAAGTATTTAGACTTGTTCCTTATCTAAATTGTATTTTTAGAATAAGTAATTTAACTGAATCAATGTTTTTGCTCATTGGTTTTTATTTTTTGTAAAGGTCAGTTGAAAAAAACTAACTTAAATTTTATATTGTTCAACATCAAGGAGAAAAGAAGTCAAGTCAAAAAAAAGAAAGGATAAAACCAAAAAAGACTGTGAAGAGTCATCACATAAAAAGCCCAGATTATCTTCTGCAGAAGAGAGCTCTAAGAAAAAAGATAAAGGTAAAAGGAATTAAGATATGACAGCTACTCACATTTCTGAACATGAAGTGTAATCTGCTATGTGTCTCAAATCTAGAATTTAATTGGTGAATGCACTTAGAATTCTGTCTTATAGTAGTTGATACTGGTTGGAGAATTTAGAATGAATTCACAGTAACTTACAGGGTGTTAGAGAATGAAATCGTTTTGATTCATTTTTGGCAGATAGTACAATATTGCAAACAGCATTCTAATTCCTTGCTTTATCAAAGGCTTGTTACTTTGAGAAGTCACTGAACGTCTTGAGTTTTACTTGCCTCATGTAGGTAGGGGTGATGTGAATTCCTGGTCTCTGTACTGCTTAAACTTATTGTAGAGAATAAAATAAGGATGTAAAAGGCACTTTGAACACTGTGAAATAGTAAATAAATAGACAAATTGGCTCTAATTTAGGTAGAGTGAACCAGACTTAAATTGGGTAGGTAATGGTACCTTGAGTTAGATTCAGGTCAGTGTTAACATAATTCTTGGACAGGAGAGGGCTCCCTTGCTCCAGCTATGAAGATCATTAGATATGTTACATACTTATGTGCCTTTTTTTCTTGTGTATCATGAAATATTCAAGCATATAGTATCACCAAGTTTTAGACTTGGCAAAATTGGTAGATAGTGAGAGGAAAATGCTATTATTCTATTTATTCTATTGTTCGTTGAGAAATGGCATTTGAAGCAGAATGCCATTTTGTCTGTATATTAATCATTTGTTAATTCCAAAATAAATTTTAATTAAATGTGAAAATCTCATTTGAGTTTTAAAACAATTTTTATTTATACTAGTGCTAGTAAAATATTTAATATATCATATTTGAGAATTTTGTTGCATTCATTGTTGTATTATATACCATTGCTACATTCATATCATAGTAATGATACTGTGCTAATTGCTGTATATTCCAAATTAAAGAACTAATCCCTCCTTGTAAAAGCTTATCAGTACCCTCAAAACAGATAATTAGGTCGCTGGTTACTTGGGATAAGCGGTGGCACTGGACCCCTCAGATTATACAGGTATATGTATGTGACTTCCTTAGTTCCATATTTCAGTAGATAACACCTCTGTCAACCTAAAAACTAATATCAGAAATCTGGGAATTAGCCTTGACGCCTCTTCTTTTCTCTTACTTTTTAAAAATTTATCATTAAACCCCCAGTGTATAAAGTTCTCTCCACCCTAGATCAGACTACCGTGTTTTCTTATCTAGGTATTGCTGTGTTTCCCTTACTAGTTCTGCTACTGTTTTGTCATCTCAACCCATCCTCCCTTTAATCCATTCTCCATAAAACAGTGATTTCCAGTTGCTCTTAGAATACAGCCAGAATCTGGGCAGAACCTAAAAGCTATATGACCTGGCAGACAAGGCTTGTCTTTCACCACCCTCTACCTCAGCTTTACACTCCACCCATGTGGCCTTCCAGTTTCCAGAAAATGCCAAACACTTTTCCATTTAGGGACTACATAGATGATGCTTCTTCGCTTCCTAACCCCACCAGTCCCATCCTAACTTACCTTTCAGGTCTAAGTTTAAATACCACTTCCTCAGGGATCGTTTCTGACTCCATCCCTGACCATGAATCTAAATTAAGACTCCCATTTATAATGCTATCACAGCCCTGGAACTTTGCCTTCATCACACACACGATAATTACATAAAAGCCTAAGGAGGGCAGAAATTCTGTATGCTGTGTTTGTTCCTGTATCCCCACTGCCCTACTAGCACATATTAGGCATAAATAATAAAGAATAAGAAAATGAAAGACTTTGAAGATTGTTTCAGGGCAACTTCAGGGATAGAAAACCAAAGCAGAGTGGAATTGAGACATCTCTTTCTTAATTTATTTTTATTCAGAGCACCTTTATAGCAAAGAGTACAGGATATAGTTCTTTTTCCTACCTGTATGGTAGAAAGCAGAAAATGACAACATTTTAGTAAACTTTTGGGAAAACTGTGTACAACTCTTTAATATCTTCTTATCTGGGATATCTGGAACTAGTATGATCTTGATGTGATAGTTTCTTGCCAGACCACCTTAATTGGGCGCACACTTGAATGGTAATTAGTAATGCTTAATATCTTAGCTGCTCTTAGACTATGGTTACTCCTCCTTAAAACAATCTACGTTCTGGATTTCCTTCGTATATTTCTGGCCTCTCCTCAGCCTCTTTTAAAGACTATCAGTCAAAAGACTTCCTGCTCAGATGGACAGTGACTGTAAAGGGGTATGTGGGGGGGACTTGGTGAAGGGGGGAGCCTGGTAAACATAATGTTCTTCATGTAATTGTAGATTAATGATACCAAAATAAAATAAAATAAACAGAAAGAAAAAAAAAAAGACTTCCTGCTCAGTCTTAACCCTTAGGTGTTGGAGTTGCTCAGGAATCTTAAAAACTTCTTTTCTTTCTCTCTGTTCTCCTTGTGTGATCCCATTATTCCAAGAGCTTCAGTTTACTATCCTACAAATGTTAAATAAGTAGATGAATGGATAGAGAATGTAAGAAAAAAGATCAATAGCTTGACTTTGGGGACCAGTCTGCTTCAGAAGGTATGAGCAGAACAAGGTACTTAGGTGGACTGTGTTGGCAGAATGTTCAAGGTCTTACCTCTTCCGCCACCACTTCATCCATAAGCTCAGTTCTTTGGAAGGCCTTTCCTGATACCCTTCAGCCACTCCTCCATACAAGGTTAGTTCCCTGTTAACACAATCCAGTAGCACCATGCACTTACCCTTTAGAAATACCATCACCTGTGGAATAATTTATTTATTTTCTATTAAAGAAGGGACTGTGTGATTTGTTTAATTCTTAATTCTTTATTTTCAATTCCTAAGCACAGTGCTTTCTCCACATCATAGGCATTCAGTAAATGTTAGGTAAGTGGGTGATTTAGTGAGGTCAAAGCAGTCTCTCATCTCTCAGTGTTTAAAGAAACATCAGAGGTCTGCCCTGGAATCATGATCAAAAAGAAATTCTGTGTTTTTCTTCTTTCAAAGTGTGGTTCTCTGGCTTTGTCATCACTTGGAACTTGGTAGAAATGCACAACCTCCAAACCTCCCAGAGCCCCTGAATTACAGTTTCATTTTAAGTTCCTAGGAGGATTTCATATGCACAGTAATGTTTGAGATGTGCTGCTGTGTGTCATGTATTTGTTCTCCTTCTTCAGGGAAAAGGAACCCACTGCTCTCCAAAATACTCCTTTACATTTCAGATGGTTGTTGGTTTTGCTACCAGGTTCTTTTAACATTAACCCAAACCTACAACTTCTTCTCTTTTTTCTGATTATGTCCTTAGGCCCCCAGAGTAAGCCTAACTTCCTAACCTGTAGTCATTTGGAAGCAGGTATGTTCATCATATAACAGAGATGACGATGGAGAGGAATATGTTTTTTTTGCTACCAGAAGCTTAGCTATGTATTTATTCACTCTCTGTGACTAGGAAATGAGGAGTGAAGAGACAGTACCATGAAACAGCTGCTGGCAGTCCAGGCCTTGGCTTTCTTGGGAGTCTTTACCCTGCAGTTCTCCCATGCTCGGCATCTGGCCTGAAAGAGGCCATTCGTGAGAGAGCTATGGCTTATGAGACTGCCTCTCCAGGGAAGTTGGAGGAACTGTTACCCTTTGTTATCTGTCCTTTTTTGATTTAGAAACCTTCAGAAATATTTCCCCTGAAATCTTATTGCAGGAAACTCCGTATAATGATGTTTTTTAAAAACCAAGTTAATAGATCTTAAGTATGTTTCTTTTTGTTTCCCTCACTGGATAGCCATTGTAGAACTAAAAAAATGTTTTTTTTATGTCTTAATTTATGTGATTTTTCACTTTCTGAGAATTCATTCTTACCTGTATTTGACCTTTGAAAAAGTATTTTGAAAAATGAGGATTAATTTGTCAATTGCTTTCAGATGTTGAATATCTCCACAGATAAAAATACTAGTTATATTGCAGCTAATTAATGCCTATGATGTAGAGAAAGCACTGTGCTTTTTTTTTCTAAGCAACATAATACTTTTTTTTAACAAGTATTCATTTTTTTTATTATTACGGTATTATTGATATACAATCTTATGCAGGTCTTACATGAGCAACATTGTGGTTATTACATTCACCCATATTATCAAGTCCCCCTCTACATACCCCATTACAGTCCCTGTCCATCAGTGTAGTAAGATGCTATAGAGTCATTACTTGTCCTTTCTGTGCTATACTGCCTTCCCCATGCCCCTGCTACACTATGTGTACTAACCATAATGCCCCTTAATCCCCTTCTCCCTCCCCTCTGCCTGCCCTCCCACTTCCTTTCTCTTTGGTAACCACTAGTCCCTTCTTGGAGTCTGTGAGTCTGCTGCTGTTTTGTTCCTTCAGTTTTGCTTTGTTGTTACACTCCACAAATGAGTGAAATCACTTGGTGCTTGTCTTTCTCTGCCTGTCTTATTTCACTGAGCATAATACCCTCTAGCTCCATCCATGTTGTTACAAATGGTAGGATTTGTTTTCTTTTTATGGCTGAATAATATTCCATTGTGTATATGTACCACATCTTCTTTATCCATTCATCTACTGATGGACACTTAGGGTGCTTCCATATCTTGGTTATTGTAAATAGTGCTGCAAGTATTCATTATTTTTTAAGCTTTGTGCTAGGTATTCTAGGCTACACAAGGGCATACACTACCCCTGTCTAAAAGAAGCTAACATTTTAATTAGGGAGGTAAGTCTAAGGAATGTGAAAGATTAGAAGACAGGGAAGTGCTTTTTTCTAAGACTACAAACTAGACAATTGGAAAGAATTTTAGTTAGAGCTGCAGTTGTTGCACCAATGCAAAATCATTCTTAACAACATTGTTTTCTTTTCAGGACATTCATCCTCAAAGAAATCAGAAAACTCTATAAATAGTGAGTATATCTTTAATAAAAGCATATAGATTCATATTATTTGCAACTAGAATTTCCCATGAATTGTGACTTGCTCTGATGTCAATTCTTTTTTGGTTTTGTACTATGTGAGAAAATCACAGAAAAAAGACCAAAAGTGTATGATTTCATCCCCAATTTAGAACATTTAAGAGTTTCTTATTTTAAGTATAAAAGGGCATAAAAATATTTTTTCAGTAAATACAATAGATACACATTTCAATTTCACATTATGGAAAATGAATAAAGAAACATATGGCTAAGGTCAGGATGGAAAAAGAATTGGGGAAGTGGATTAAGAAATATTGCTTATATTACATGAGACTGAATTTTCTCTGTCATTTGGTGATTGTGGTTGATCAAATTAAGCATGTGCCTTGTGTATACATAATGTTGGCAGCCTGTTGCTACTGGTTTGTTTTTTAATAACTATGATTTTCACCAGATTGGATCAAATTAGATTGGATTTCATTGAATATTTTATGTAAATTTTATGATTTTCCCCCATAGTAGTACAAAAATATTTACAATAACTCACAAAAATATGCACAATAAAATAAGACTTTTAAAGGTAAAATTAGAATAATGAAAAAATAGAATAGCAAAGTAAAGCTGGAGATAAAATTAATATGGACAAATGTTTACTAAAAAGTCCTGCATAAATTACAAAGGTAGATCACAGATTTGTCACTCTTCTTCCAAACAGCCAAACCAAAGAAGGAAACCACTAATAGAATGCTTAATCATACCCATAGAATAATAAGCAGTGAGTTCAGTTTTTTCCAGCCACAATTTTGACAGCAGATTCTCCTGTGGGCTCATAAAATGGGGCACCCATTTCTGATAGAACAAGCAGTAGCCTCATATCTCAACAGTAATACAACATTACATTTCTTTTAAAGTCTTGCTGTAGGCTGAGGGCCTAACCAAACATAGTTGAATAGCATATCTAATTCATAGATTTTTTATAGAAATTTATAGACTTATTTTATAGAAATTCAGAAACAGAGACTTCTAGGCTTACTTGGAAATTTATACATCTAATAATTAAGATACTTTTCTGATTTTAAAGTAGTATATATTTACTGTGACAAATTCAGGAAAAAAAGTAGTGATAACTCCAAATTCCACCATTCAAATATAAACATTATTAATATTTTACAGTAATTATTGAGGATTTTTAAGTGTTCAATATTTAGAAATTTTACATCCAGAAAAATGGAAATTTTAAGGTATTTACTGCTTGATAATTTGTTTTTACTAAGATATCACTGATATATACTCTTATGAAGGTTTCACATGAAAAACACTGTGGTTACTACATTCACCTATATTATCAAGTCCCCCCCATACCCCATTTGAAGTCATTGTCCATCAGCTTAGTAAGATGCCGCAGGGTCACAACTTGTTTTCTCTATGCTACACTGTCTTCCCCATGACCCCCCAACACACACCATGTGTACCAATCAATACCCCTCAATCCCCTTCTCCCTCCCTTCCCACCCCTCCCCTTTGGTAACAGCTAGTCCCAACTTGGAGTCTGTGAGGCTGCTGCTGTTTTGTTCCTTCAGTTTTGCTTTGTTGTTATACTCCACAAATGAATGAAATCATTGGTACTTGTCTTTCTCTGAGCATAATACCCTCTAGCTCCATTCAGCTTGTTGCAAATGGTAGGATTTGTTTTCTTCTTATGGCTGAATAATATTCCATTGTGTATATGTACCACATCTTCTTTATCCATTCATCCACTGATGGACACTTAGGTTGCTTCCATATCTTGGCTATTGTAAATAGTGCTGTAATAAACATAGGGGTGCATATGTTTTTGAATCTGAGATCTTGTTTCCTTTGGATAAATACCTAGGAGTGGAATTCCTGGGTCAAATGGTACTTCTCTTTTTAGTGTTTTGAGGAACTTCCATATTGCTTCTTCCCACAATGGTTGAACTAATTTACATTCCTGCCAGCAGTGTAGTATAGAAGGGTTCCCCTTTCTCTGCATCCTTGCCAGCATTTGTTGGTGCTTGTCTTTTAGATGGTGGCCATCCTAACTGGTGTGAGGTGATATCTCATTGTGGTTTTAATTTACATTTCCCTGATAATTAGTGATGAGGAGCATCTTTTCATGTGCCTGTTAGCCATCTGAATTTCTTCTTTGGAAAATTGTCCGTTCATATCCTCCGCCCATTTTTTTATTGGGTGATTTGCTTTTTGGGTGTTGAGGTATGTGAGTTCTTTATATATTTTGGATGTTAATCCCTTGTTGGATTTTGTTGTTTACGAATATATTCTTCCATACTGTAGGATGCCTTTTTGTTCTGCTGATAGTGTCCTTTGCTGTACAGAAACTTCTTAGTTTGATGTAGTCCCACTTGTTCATTTTTGCTTTTGTTTCCCTTGCCTGAGCAGATGTGTTCATGAAAAAGTTACCCTCTAGCTCCATCCATGTTGTTACAAATGGTAGGATTTGTTTTCTTTTTATGGCTGAATAATATTCCATTGTGTATATGTACCACATCTTCTTTATCCATTCATCTACTGATGGACACTTAGGGTGCTTCCATATCTTGGTTATTGTAAATAGTGCTGCAAGTATTCATTATTTTTTAAGCTTTGTGCTAGGTATTCTAGGCTACACAAGGGCATACACTACCCCTGTCTAAAAGAAGCTAACATTTTAATTAGGGAGGTAAGTCTAAGGAATGTGAAAGATTAGAAGACAGGGAAGTGCTTTTTTCTAAGACTACAAACTAGACAATTGGAAAGAATTTTAGTTAGAGCTGCAGTTGTTGCACCAATGCAAAATCATTCTTAACAACATTGTTTTCTTTTCAGGACATTCATCCTCAAAGAAATCAGAAAACTCTATAAATAGTGAGTATATCTTTAATAAAAGCATATAGATTCATATTATTTGCAACTAGAATTTCCCATGAATTGTGACTTGCTCTGATGTCAATTCTTTTTTGGTTTTGTACTATGTGAGAAAATCACAGAAAAAAGACCAAAAGTGTATGATTTCATCCCCAATTTAGAACATTTAAGAGTTTCTTATTTTAAGTATAAAAGGGCATAAAAATATTTTTTCAGTAAATACAATAGATACACATTTCAATTTCACATTATGGAAAATGAATAAAGAAACATATGGCTAAGGTCAGGATGGAAAAAGAATTGGGGAAGTGGATTAAGAAATATTGCTTATATTACATGAGACTGAATTTTCTCTGTCATTTGGTGATTGTGGTTGATCAAATTAAGCATGTGCCTTGTGTATACATAATGTTGGCAGCCTGTTGCTACTGGTTTGTTTTTTAATAACTATGATTTTCACCAGATTGGATCAAATTAGATTGGATTTCATTGAATATTTTATGTAAATTTTATGATTTTCCCCCATAGTAGTACAAAAATATTTACAATAACTCACAAAAATATGCACAATAAAATAAGACTTTTAAAGGTAAAATTAGAATAATGAAAAAATAGAATAGCAAAGTAAAGCTGGAGATAAAATTAATATGGACAAATGTTTACTAAAAAGTCCTGCATAAATTACAAAGGTAGATCACAGATTTGTCACTCTTCTTCCAAACAGCCAAACCAAAGAAGGAAACCACTAATAGAATGCTTAATCATACCCATAGAATAATAAGCAGTGAGTTCAGTTTTTTCCAGCCACAATTTTGACAGCAGATTCTCCTGTGGGCTCATAAAATGGGGCACCCATTTCTGATAGAACAAGCAGTAGCCTCATATCTCAACAGTAATACAACATTACATTTCTTTTAAAGTCTTGCTGTAGGCTGAGGGCCTAACCAAACATAGTTGAATAGCGTATCTAATTCATAGATTTTTTATAGAAATTTATAGACTTATTTTATAGAAATTCAGAAACAGAGACTTCTAGGCTTACTTGGAAATTTATACATCTAATAATTAAGATACTTTTCTGATTTTAAAGTAGTATATATTTACTGTGACAAATTCAGGAAAAAAAGTAGTGATAACTCCAAATTCCACCATTCAAATATAAACATTATTAATATTTTACAGTAATTCTTGAGGATTTTTAAGTGTTCAATATTTAGAAATTTTACATCCAGAAAAATGGAAATTTTAAGGTATTTACTGCTTGATAATTTGTTTTTACTAAGATATCACTGATATATACTCTTATGAAGGTTTCACATGAAAAACACTGTGGTTACTACATTCACCTATATTATCAAGTCCCCCCCATACCCCATTTGAAGTCATTGTCCATCAGCTTAGTAAGATGCCGCAGGGTCACAACTTGTTTTCTCTATGCTACACTGTCTTCCCCATGACCCCCCAACACACACCATGTGTACCAATCAATACCCCTCAATCCCCTTCTCCCTCCCTTCCCACCCCTCCCCTTTGGTAACAGCTAGTCCCCCCTTGGAGTCTGTGAGGCTGCTGCTGTTTTGTTCCTTCAGTTTTGCTTTGTTGTTATACTCCACAAATGAATGAAATCATTGGTACTTGTCTTTCTCTGAGCATAATACCCTCTAGCTCCATTCAGCTTGTTGCAAATGGTAGGATTTGTTTTCTTCTTATGGCTGAATAATATTCCATTGTGTATATGTACCACATCTTCTTTATCCATTCATCCACTGATGGACACTTAGGTTGCTTCCATATCTTGGCTATTGTAAATAGTGCTGTAATAAACATAGGGGTGCATATGTTTTTGAATCTGAGATCTTGTTTCCTTTGGATAAATACCTAGGAGTGGAATTCCTGGGTCAAATGGTACTTCTCTTTTTAGTGTTTTGAGGAACTTCCATATTGCTTCTTCCCACAATGGTTGAACTAATTTACATTCCTGCCAGCAGTGTAGTATAGAAGGGTTCCCCTTTCTCTGCATCCTTGCCAGCATTTGTTGGTGCTTGTCTTTTAGATGGTGGCCATCCTAACTGGTGTGAGGTGATATCTCATTGTGGTTTTAATTTACA